AAAAAAAAAAAAAAAAGAGAGAGAGAGAGAAAAGAAAAATTAGCTGGGCATGTTGGTGCACGCCTGTAGACCCAGCTGCCTGGGAGGCTAAGGCGGAAGGCTCTCTTGAGCCCAAGGAGTTTGAGGCTACGGGGAGCTATGATTATGCCACTGCACTCCAGCATGGATGACCGAGTGAGACTGTCTCTAAAATAAATTTTGTTTTTAAAAAAGAAAAACGTTTAAGTCACTCTTAATGCAGAGATAAATAAAATAGAAGATGTGAATTTCTCCTGTAAGAACTGTGCATATCTTCCAAGCAGTAGAGTGCTTACCAATAAGACTAAAAGTTCGAACAGTTGTCAGAACAAATATATTTCTGTAGTTTTTGTAGGTTTTAGCAATATTTTTTTTAAAACAAGGATTCTGCTGCTGAAAAGGACATTAAAAAAGTCTTTTTGCCTTTTGGCTTCAGCTGCTTTTGAAACACTTCACATAATTACACAGGTCACAGATCTATAGATAATATGGAAACACAGTCTAATATGAATAATTATTGATTGTATTTAATAATCAAAAAGATTCAGCACTAGTATATGAGACACTTCCAATAACCAAAGATTTTCTTAAGGGAACACTTTATTCAAACTCTGAAAAAGTTTACTTTGATGTTTAGCCTACCAATTTGCTTGGTTATTTTACCAATTAGGATTAGCTTTGGTTCCAACAGAAAGCTCTCACAGTAACAGTGGCTTAAACAAGATAGAAGTTGGTATTTCTCTCACATTCTGGAAGTCCAGAGTCGGGCCAGTTATTGTGTTCCACAGTGTCATCTTGTTCTACGACGCTGCTTTTCCCAAGGTCATCTCAGGGCCCAAGCTGGCTGCTGGAGCTCCAGCCCTTGCATCTACATTCCAGGAAATGAGGAGGAGGATGGTGCCAGGGCATACATTTCACTTCTGCCTACACTGTCTTGGCTACAACTTAATCGCACCGCCATGCCTGCCCGCAAGGGAGGCTGAGAAATGCAGTTCTTACTCCAGCTGGCCACACGTGCTGCTGAGCATCAGCGGCTCTTGTTCCCGAGTGATGGATGCGGGGCCGCCTTGTTGACTCTTCCGGTCATCTCCTCCCTTAAGAGTTTTTAGGAAAACGACTCCTGCGGGTTTATTTTCTCCATAACCTGCATGCGACACAACGCGTCGGCGACCTTCCATTTCCGGGGACGCGGCGACACGGGACATCCTGGGCCCTGAGCTGTGATTCCAAGTCTGTCGGAGTCGCCACACGTGGCTCGTGAGTTCAAGTCCACAGAAGGCAGGGCGGTGCCTGGGAACGTGTCCCCTCCAGCAAGCGGGGGCTCTGAGGTGTGCAGGGAACCAGCTGGGTGGCCCGTCTGCCCCCGACGCCCCCCGGGTCCTCCCAGCCTGGGCTCCTCCCGCCCCGACCCCTCGAGAGCCGGTCTGCACCCCCTCGGCCATGTGTCCTCGGGGCCTCCGTCGAGGCGGCCACGCCAGGGCTCTCCCCCCTGGGCGGCAGCCCCGACGTGGCTCCCTCCTCTGCCCGTCTCCGCCCGGGCGCGCTCCCCGGCTCCCCCGTCGCAGACTCCACCTGGAGACCGCGCCCCGCCCGGCCCCATCTCGGGCGCCATCCTCCGGGACAGTCGCTTCGGGTCGCCGTGGGGTGTGGGACGAGGCGCGGGGCGCTCCGAGGACGCCGACGGCTGGCCCGTCCCTGTCCCCCGGCCCACGCCCCTCGGGCTGTGAGAGGAGTCTCCCCCTCTCCCCTGCCGCCCTCTTCTGAAGGCCGCCCGGGCTTCCTCGCCTTTGCCTCCCCACCTCTTGTCGGTCTGCTTGTTTGTGGCCGGGACCAGGTCTCACCACGTTGCTGGGGCCGGCCTCCAGCTCCCGGGCTCCTGGGCTCCGGCCATCCTCGGCTTTGCGAATGAGTTCACTGAGGCCCCCTGGGACGGTGGTCGTGTGATCGCCGCCGCCATCCAGCTTCAAATCAGCCCCTCCAACCATTTCTGGCCCCGTCCCACCAGGATTGAGAACCAATCATCCCTGGGTTTTTCTCTCCCTACTAATGAGAGTCTGTCGTGAGGCACTCACGACTCTCACGGGCCTGGGTCTCCGTGCTTATGCTCGTAAATCCCTTTTAATTTTGTCCTGGTCCTGCCCGCTCACCGGCTTTGTGGCCCTGAGAAACCATTTTCCCTCTTTTTCTTTCTTTCTGAGTTGGAGTCTCACTCCGTCGCCAGACTGGAGTGTCGTCGGCCTGCTGGGCTCCGGCGACCCTTCCGCCTCAGCCTTCCCAGTTGCCGGAACTACAGGCACGTGCTACCACGCCCGGCCAGCTTTTGAATTATTGTACAGACGAGGTCTTGCCAAGTTGCCCGGGCAGGTCTCGAGCCCACGGGCTCAGGCAATCCACTTGCCTCGGCCTCCCAAAGTGCTGGGATGACAGGCTGAGCCACCAAGCCCGGCTCATCTTACCTCTTGAGCCTGTTTCTCCGCCAGAAAGATGGGAATGAGGGGAAAGTCCCCTCCGTGGGGCTGTTACGAGGCATGGAGGTGAAGTGCATGAAGCCAAACACCTTCCACCTGATCTTTCAGGGAGACAGAGGCGTGGGTAGCACAGACGTTCCCCCAACCGCCCGTCCACACGCAGCCGAGATGAACCCAAGTTTCATCCAGCACAGTGTACGTTCCAGGCCCAGATTTAAGCGGGAATAAAGCCTGGGGACAGATTTTCAAAGCCTTTCTGCAGGGCGCTGCATTTGCAGACGAGCCGCTTCCAAGCAGACAGTGACCTCCCCAGCCCCTCAGGCACCAGGGGGATCAGATGGGCGCAATCCAATGTCGCAGCTATGTTTTTGAAGGAGAGCAAGTCTGTGTATTTGAATTACAAGTGTCCACAGCTCACAAGGTCCTTTTTAGAGCATGAAGAAACCTACTTCATACACAGCAAATGTTCCCATTCATACTAGATTTGTTGGTTATCAGAGGTGGCGTATCTGTTTCCTCCCAAAACTTCGCCCCGAGAACGATACACAGTAAGTAACAACGCACATTCAGTAAGCACAAGTCGCCAGTGTGGTTTATTGGATTTCCTTCCCGCGGTGCACAAGAGGCTCTTGCAGGGCTGGGTGCCAGCCTGGGTCCACACTAGCGCCCGAGCTGGCTTCCGTGGAGGGCAGTCATGTGCACGTGGGCGTGATGCCGGCCTCGGTCGGGTCCTGGTCCCCGATCCCCAGGGGGTTCCATCAGGCCTGAGGCAGCAGCGTGGCCGTGGCAGCCCAAGAGCCCCTGGCTGGTGCCTGGTTCCACCCTGGAGGAGGAGCCCAGCCCAGGAAGGCGGACTCAGCAGCAGGGCAGAGGCTGAAGCACCTTCCTGAGGCCAGCAGCCAGAGCTTGTGGCGTGGGGCTCTCTGCAGTGCAGCTCACAGGCAGGCCCTGGGCGGCCAGCGCGCGAGCCGTGGTGGGGCCGATGGCTGCAAACTGTCAACAGAGAAGAGAGATTAGAATCTCGGCACCGGCAGGGCCGTGGTGGCAGGCAGCTGGACGTGTGCAGGGCTGTCAGCCAGCCTTTCTGTTGGACGTTCCTCCTGGGACGTGCTCGTATCAACGGCAACACCACCCGGTCCGAGCCTGGCTTCGGAGTCTGCAAAACGCCTCTGCTTCCGGGATCTCATCACAGCCTCTCTGCCACCCTGAGCGAGAGCACACTGTTCCCGAGCTTCCGGTGGGGCAGACACACGAGGGACCTGCCACTGTGGCTGCCTCTGTGCGGTGCTCCCACAGAGGCTCCAGCTGCAGACAGTCCTGGGCACAATCGGGGGAGGCCATGGCCCATCCCCCAGGAGAGAAGAACTATCGAGACCAGGGCTCTGGGGCCAGAGGGCCGGGTGCAAATCCCAGCTCTACAGAACAGTGGCCTTGGCATGGAGCCCGTCCTCTCTGGTCTCACCTCCTCACTGGAAGGCAGAAGGGGTAACGGGACTCTTTGCTGGGCTGCTGTGGGGACTCAATGAGGTGACGGGTGTGAACCCCTCGGCAAGGCACAGGGACATGCTCTGGGACCTCCAGTGCGGCTGCCGGCCCTGTCCCCACTGCTCCAAGCGAGCCGCTCCATGGCCTGGGCCTCATTCGCAGGATGCTTTGCCCTGATCAAGCACCCTGATCAAGGGTCCCGCCAGAGCCTCTCCTGAGATGGAACGTTGCTATCCTCCTGACTCTGCTCCTTCCCAGCTGCTACGACCAGTCACTTATCCTCTCTGCACCGCAGTTTCCTCATCTGTAAAAGGAAACAATCACCCCTGCCTCCTGGGCTCGTGTGGGGTGAGATGAGAAAACACGCAGCCTCCGGCAGAGAGGCGGTCCCCAGACCCCTGCTCTCCCCGGACTGAAACTGGGCCGTGCACCTGGTTGGAGCAGGGGAGCACCCGACAGCGGCACCCTCACCTGACGCACCCCTTCATCGTCCCTCCCCGGACATGGAGAGCCAGGCCAGGTGGCAGCGGCGCTGACAAGACGCCGCACATCTGCACAACCTCGGACGCTCTGAGCTTGACGCTCCCTCCTATGGGGCGGGTCAGAATGGGAGGTGACAGGCTGCTGTCCCAGAGGCCCGAGCTCCTGGCCCTCTGCCCACACTACACCCCGCTATGCAGCCACTGTGGAGGCAACTCCCGGAGGGGAGAAAAGCGGTGCTGGACCTCACCCTCACACGACACACAAAGATGAACTCAAGATGGATCAAAGACCTAAATGTAGAGGCAAAACTCTAAAACCCCTGGAGAGAAACCCAAGAGTAAATCTTCAAAATACTGAATTAAAGCAATGGTTTCTTGGTTTCAACATCCAAAGCACGAGTAACAGGAGAAAAAACAGATACAAACTCAGGAGGCTGCGGTAGAAGGATCGCCTGAGCCCAAGAAGCTGAGGCTGCAGTGAGCTGCGACTTTGGCTTGGGCAGCAGAGTGGGGCCTCCAACTCAGGATAAAACAAAACGCAGTAAATGATTATATATCACTGAAGTTGTTGAAAACAATATCTAGCAAAAAAAGAAATTCCTTGAAGCTGGCAACCAGCAAATGGCAAACACAACTTCAGCCGAAGAGAGGGTCTCAACAGTTTGGTGACACAGTGACTTTTCCCCTGCAGCCTTTTTTTTTTTTTTTGAGTTGGAGTCTCACTCTGTCACCCAGACCAGAGTGCAGTGGCCGCTCCTGGCCACCGCAGCCTCGACCTGCTGGGCTCTGGCCATCCTTCCGCTTCGGCCTTCCGAGTAGCCAGAGCTACAGGCGTGCACTACCGCGCCCGGCTAATTGTTTATTTGTTCTGTCTTCACCACTGGCACCAAATGGGGAGCGAGTGTACCAGCCACATTCGGCGATCAGCTCTGCCACTACCAGCTAGTGACCGCTAGAAATAAAAATGGCCACCTCACAGACAAGTAGCCATTTGTGCTTTTAGACCTGCACAATTCCATCCATATTTTATTCTCCCTCAAGGAAGGCAGGCATTAAGAAGCCTGGGGTGAGTTCTTATGTTTATACCACCAGGCTGTCCAGACACCTCATGGCATCGTGCGATTTGGTGTGGGGGGAGCAGGGGGTGGTGAGAACTTTAGGTCCAGGAGAGAGGCAGCATGGTACAGAGAGATGAGACCCATGACCTGTCCCAACTTCCAGTATGCAGGAAGAATTCCCTGTGTGCCAATTATGATGCTAAGCACTCTTTAATCCCTGTAACCAAAAGATTCAGATATTGTTTTTCTTCCCGGGTGACCCACGTGCGAGTCTTGGGCCTTCCGGTAACTTTCCAAATAACTCTGGTAAGGTGCTTAACCCCTCTGGGTCTCACTGTCCTCACTTCTATGAGGACAACTGGCTACTTTTGCTGGGTACCCACCCCTGGACGAGCATGAGGATTATATTAGTTATTGCCCAGAAGTGCTTGATCAAATGAGGACACAGCTCAGAGAGGCGAGGCGATTTGTACAGGAGCCCCAGCCCGGAAGTGGCGCGCTCTCTCCAATTCTGGAGCAGCCATCAGGGTGCCTGCCAGGCCAGGATGCTTTGATTTGGCATGGAAACCCTAGGATAATCAGCAGAGAGCAAAATAAAATAAGATAAAAACGCACACAAGCCCATCGTGAAATACCTTAATTTGCTCAATACTATCCCCAGAGAGCTCCTGAATATGCTTGAGACCATATGCAACACCAGAGGGACTGAAAAAGGAGATGCTGGCTGGAACGCCCTGCAGAAAGAGAACACAAGAACAGTCCCTTGCCGTGAGATGGAGGAGAGAGAATGTTCCTCTAGCTAATCGGCATCAACTCCTCAAGCCACAGGCAGCCTAGGGGGCCTTACAAAACGAGTGGCTCCTGGGTGATGTTGGCATTCTCTGAGCCAACAGGGCAGAATTCTGGTAAGAAGCTGCTGACGGGCACAGGCTGGCACTGCTCAGGGGTCTCTCTGCCAGGCCTCAGGTCCGTGTCTTCCTGGCTAGAGGACATGGCACCGTGGAGCCCACATGCCCAGCATTCTGGACGGTGCCTCTAGCTCCTGCAGTCACATGGCACTGATCACATGTCAGCTCGTGGGGGCTCCCCGCCAACATGCCATCCATCTGGAAGCAGAGCAGGCAGGAGACAGGCCAGCCTGTGTGACCTTTCTGCGTCTGGCTTGTCCTGACAGGCCTTCAAGTACCAGGCAAGGCATTCAGAAGCCTGCCCTGGGAGAGTCAAGGGCGACGCCTCACTGCGTGTCAATGTTGAAGACATCAATCAACTTAAGCAAGAAAGACGCATTCTCCGGCCTGGGGCCTCCAGAGGTTCCCCCCACACTCCCCACGTCGATCCAGACTCCTCAGTGGACACCACAGGCTCTTCCCACAACGGGCCCAGCCTCCCTTTCCAGCCTCTGCCCCCACGTGAGGAAGAGAAGGGACAACTTTCAGGCCATGACTTACCTCAGGCTTGTACGTTGGGAGCCACACGAAGAGCTTTGTGTAAATCTTTACCCCGTATAAGAACTTACTAGAGAGGTCTACTTCCGTTTCACGGAGATAGAAATGGAGCCTCGGCAAGGCTCCATGTGTGCCTCAGTCACACAGCTGGGGACGGTGGAACCGCACACAGGGCCAACGCCGGTGAGCTCACGCCCATATCCTATGCTTCTGCCACCCAGGTGCCCACCCTGTCACAGCTCTCCCAGAAACCCCACATACCTGCTGGGAATAGTAGCTCTTCAGGTTCCCTTGGATTCCCGGGTGTGGGAATGTCTGATAGACTGTCACGCTTTCCATGGGAATCCCTGGGCACAACCCAAACCAGGAGACAGACTTTACTACGCTGGGAGCACAATGGCGCCTCCGCCATGGCAGAGCACGGTGGGTGGTGCCCTCCCAAAGCAGCCCAGCCTGCCCGGAACTGGCAGCTCGGAAACTGGGAGGCCGGACTCAGGGCAAGAGGCCTCAGTCGGCCCTCTGAGCCCTGCGGGACACCGCGAAGCAGCCCCCGTGGCAGGGAGCCGAGATGGCAGAGAAGGGACAACGGGTCCAGACACCACAACCTTTGTTCACACCCACAAATGCTTTTTGCTCCCACATTTGTGCGGGTGTGTTCACACAGGACTATCCCTAGTCACTCCACACACCCTACACAGACAGGACTCATGATGCTAGGAAATGCAGCCTAAGGGCAGCTCTTGGGAGAGGCCAGGAGTCCAGAGCCCCCGCTGCGTCCCAGCTCTGCCTCCACGGGCCGTGTGGCCTCTCTCTTGGCCTCAGGGTGCCCACCTGGAGAGGAACAGATTAGGCTCTGTGCGGCTCAGTGACTCTGAATATTCCCAGGAGCTTTCAGGGCTGGTGATGAGGGGAGGCACTGAAGGGACTGGCACAACTTCTATCATATATAGATTTGCTGGAGGCAGCCATACGGTAGGTGAAAAGTACTGAAACCTCGGGTTTATGAAAAAGAAATGGGGCCAGGCGCGGTGGCTCACACCTATAATCCCAGCACTTTGGGAGGCTGAGGTGAGAGGACTGCCTGAGCCCACAGGTTTGAGACTAGCTCAGGCAACTTGGAAATTAGCCGGGTGTGGTGGTGCGTGCCTGTAGTTCCAGCTACTCGGAAGGCTGAGGCGTGATCACCTGAACCCAGTAGGTTGAGGCTGCGGTGGCCGGGAGCGGCCACTGCACTCCAGTCTGGGCAACAGAGTGAGACTCCAACTCAAAAAAAAAGAAAAAGAAATGGATAGGAAAGACACTCTCAGAAGAGACCAAGATAATCTCTGCATAAAACAGCAACCTATCACCATTTCATCCACCCCAAAACTAAAGAAATAAACTGAAATATCAAAGCTCCGATTTGCATATGATTTCTTTAAGCATATTTAGGACGAAGCTTTCTCTTATTTTATTTTAGTGTCTTCTGTGATTTTGCTGATCTTTTTACCCAATGTCCTCTGCCTTTATTCCTGGTAGCATTTAGAAGATATGATATTCTAGGTAGAAAAGATACAACGTAGCTTTATTTTAATACAGAAGAGAACAGTTACAAGGTCTAAGATCATCATGGGTCATATGTTCATGTGGATCGCTAGAGGTTTAAAACAATGGAAGAAGCCGGGCTCCGTGGCTCAGCCTGTAATCCCGCGCCTTGGGAGGCTGAGGTGAGTGGATTGCCTGAGCCCACGGGTTCGAGACCCGCCTGGGCAAGCTGTTGAGACCTCATCTCTACAATAAATCAAAAAATTAGCCGGGCGTGGTAGTGTGTGCCTGTGATTCCAGCTACTTGGAAGGCTGAGGCGGAAGGATCGTTGGAGCCCAGCAGGGTGAGGCTGCAGTGGCTGGGAGCGACCACTGCACTCCAGTCTGGGCGACAGAGTGAGACTCCAACTCAAAAAAAAAAAAAAAGAAAAATGGAAGAGAATGTAACAGGCACTGATTTGTGAAGCACTTGCCTTTGGAGAACAAGACATCATTCTACATGATCTCAGAACAGCACTGTGCAGTAGGTTACTATGGTTATATCCATTTCACATGTAAGAATACTGATGCACAGAGAGAGAATCTCACTTATCCTAGTTCACACAGCAATAAACAGCAAGAAGCAGAATTCAACTTTGTTTTTAGCTCACCCTAAAGTTGGTACTCCAAACTGCTGAATCACCTTGCTCCCAGACCACTATGTGACAGAAAAAAGCACAGATAACAGCTAAGGCATTTGCGTCGATGGCTGTGGCATGTTCCAGAGGCACGGGCTGGTCTAGACAGAGATCGTGCTGGGAGCCTCAGCAGATGCAGCTGGAGCAGGCCTGTAGGGCTCAGCTGGCAGGTGCTGCAGGCCACCGTAAGATCAACTACACTTGTAGACTTTCTCCTATATGTGGTTCTAAGGTTCAGGCACTTCAGTTCTCTGCCCTGGGCCACCTCCACCCCTGTCCTCCTGGGGAAGGCTTAGAGACACACTGTGTGCACCTAGCTTGAGCCAGGCAGGCTGAGAAGAGCAGATCCAAAGCAAGCAAAGGCAGATTCCAGTCCACGCGCAATGTGAGGAATATCTCTGCCATCCCTTGGGCTGGTTTATCCACCCCAGGCCTGCTCTCCCTGTGTCTCTGCAGGGCTACCCATTCCCATCACCACGATGGCTCTTGGAGGATCCCAGAGAGGAGACAGATGCCGTCAAAGCATGCTAGTCACCTTTGTCCTGGAGCATTTTCGGCAGGACTTCTCTTTTGAGGCTCCCACAGGGAAAGAGAAGAGGCAGTGCTGACGACTCCCCTGTGAACAAAGAAACAGATTTTGTAAAGGTTTTGTCAAAAGTCAGGGTGTGGGACCCGTGCCCAGGGACACGAGGAGGGGAACCCAGGGGAGGAGGAAGCAGCCCAGGGCTCCAGGCCCAGCTTTGCTTCTGGGACTTGGTTCCAGCATTTGTAAATGGGGAGAGCAACTGCTACCTTGCTGAACTTCAAGGGCTGTTGTATGAAGATCATTAAGGTGTAATGTGACAAAGAAGCTCAGAAAACAAACAGCCACACAACAAGGGGCTGCTGTCATCACGTTCTCCCAGCTCCCCTGATCCTGGAGTGGCTCCCTGACCTGCAGTCACTCCTTAAAATGCAGGTTTTGCACTGTGTCAGAAAGGGGACAGAGGAGGCCAGGGGCTGGCGCTCAGGCAAACCTCTTTCATCCCCGGAGGAGGCCCGGGATGAGCCGGAGCTCACACTCACGAGGCAGCAGGGCCCAGCAACCCGAGCGGCTGTGCAGCCACCTCCAATACAGATAAACTCACCGCTCACTCCTCTGCCAGCCATGCCAGCAGCCCCTAGGCCAGGTGCCCAAAGAGCTGATGGCGGGCCCCGGACAGACAAGCCTGCTGAGAACGGCACATGTTTCTACTCTGCGAAGACGTAAGGGCATTTTCGGCCCTGAGCTCTTTGCAAAATCGTGACGACGGCATGTAATTTGAGCACCGATTTGCAACAACCAGCAAAACTGACGGACTGTCAGATGCCATCACCTTCCCCAAGTGCGAAACAAAGCATTTGAGTAGAACCATCTTCTCCCACATCTGTCCATCAGATGTAAGTAATGTTCATGGGTGTTGGTCACGCACAAACATGATGTGTTTTTCTACTTCCAAAAGATCCCTCCGAACACATCTTCTTTGGTGACGGCGGTCAGACGAAGGAGCAAAACGAGCTGTGCCCATCCAGCACCAACTCCACCGAGCGGAAGGGAAACAATAATAACTGCAGGCTACTTAATTTCAAGGATGTGTAAGAGCTACACATTGGTGAATGTTTCCTTTATTTAAGTTGCTCTGTAAATATCAGTACCAACATAAAAGAACACACTGAACTGGGAAATTATTAAATACCGATAATGGATGCCTGACGATTTCTCTTTTCCAGCGTGAGGAAATGTTTCCTGTACTGTAGATGCCATTCCTAGAGACAAAGCCAAGTTCAAGTGCTGTTTTCTTCCCCTAAGCCCACTCCTTCACCCCCACACCATCATCTGTGGGTGTCTGGGATGGGAGGGGCGTAGGATGCCAGGGCCAGAGCTCTTCCTGGGGCAGCGGTGGGAATCCAGCAGGAAACCAGAATCCAACCTTCTAGCATGCTCAGTCCCAAAGGCATGCAAGGGGCCTGTGGAAGATTCAAGGATCTCCCCTTCACAGGATCTCTTCTGAAGGGCCAGCAAAATCTTAAGCTGCTCATTCCCCACAGATGGGTCCTCGTCTCTATCTTCACCACCTATGCCTAGTCGAGAGCCTGCCTGTGCAGGCACACAGGGTCCACGAAAATTCAATCAGCTCAGCTGACTTCACTGGAAAGAAACTGCCGTAACCGCATAAAGAAGGAACTCTTGAAAATGTTCTGGCTGAGTCCTCCTTTGCTGCTGAGACGAGACCTATTGCGACTCTATTTCCTGAGAGCTAATCCCCTCTTCAAAAAGTCTAAGACAAATAACCCATTCCTTTTTGGAATGAGCTTAATGTCTGTGGATTTTTCTCAACCCAAACAGGTCAATGCAATGGTTAACGCTGGCTAACTTTCAACCCAAACAGAGCAATGCCATGGATAAAGCTGACACAAAAATGGTGAACTGCGGAACGTGAAGGTTCTGCTCTCCATTTCTTTAACAGGAAGGAGGCCTGGAATTCTGGACTGTTGGGCAGATGACACGTAATAGAGTTGAAAATCCAAAGGATTCCTATGCAGCTGAGGGGGGTCAATAAATAGTCACTGAAGGTGATTACGACAATATGACTCACTTTTGAAAATGTCATCCTATTGAAGCCCATGTGCCTATCTGTAAAACTCTAACGACTTTCAGGTCTACAGTAATTTCCCCACCCCAGGAGCTGCTGTGAGAATCAGCTCATACAGTCAGTGGACACTTAATTGTGGCTAATTAAGGTAAGGAGGCTGATAGGAGACTGGAAGAAAAGTTGAGCAAGTCTGCCAAGGCTGTCCAAGTTCAGGAGGACATTTCAAATAAACTGCAATGCAATCTGTCTGCCTTGAACTCTTTATCTCTTTTTAAAAGTTATATTAGCTGGGCGCAGTGACTCACACCTGTAATCCCAGCACTTTGGGAGGCAGAGGCAAGAGGATCGCCTTGAGTCCAGGGGTTTGAGACCAGCCTGGACAACTTGGCAAGACCTCATCTCTACAATAAATTAAAAAAAGGCAGGGTGCAGTGGCTCAAACCTATAATCCCAGCACTTTGGGAAGCCGAGGCGAGAGGATTGCCTGAGTCTGCGGGTTCGAGACCAGCCTGTGCAGCATGGTGAGATCTCAGCTCTACAATAAATAAAAAAATTAGCTGGGTGTGGTCACGTGAGCCTGTAGTTCCGGCTACTTAGAAGGCTGAGGAGGAAGGATCACCTGAGCCCAGTAGGTTGAGGCTGCGGTGGAGTGAGACTCTAACTCAAAACCAAAACATACATACATACATAAATAAATAAATAAAATTAGCTGGGCGTGGTGGTGCATGCCTGTAGTTCCAGCTACTTGGAAGTCTGAGGCTGTGGTGGCTGTGAACATGCCACTGCACTCCAGCCTAGGTGACAGCGAGACTCCGACTCAAAAAAAAAAGCTCTATTGTCTTCTGCTTTTTACCATCTAACTTATAATTACTTTTCCATTAGTGGAGATATTTGGAAAGAAGGAGAATCTAGCAGAACAATGAGTTATCAGATTAAATGAGTTAAGCACTTATAATAGTGCCTGTCACAAAGGCTTATTTAACTTATTAGGTGTTAACTAAAATAAATAAGCAGTCGTATGACTTGGCCTGTTTACTACAAGCATCAGAAGTAGATTTTTATCGTTTTCAAAGTTTACCGAGGGAGAAAAACCATTAATGCCTTGGTAAAACCAAGGTGAAGGCCCTTATTAATAGTCAACAGGGATTTTTATTTGGATATTATAATTGCGTGTGGAGGACTTATTAGGACCCACATTCAGGCTGGTAATAAATTAAAGGAAATAACAAAGGCTTTGCAAAGTATGCAGACCAGTATTCTCCCAGATAAGGGCAGAATGTTAATATCTACCCAACTAAGCCTGGAGTCAGTTAATTGAAACACCATTGTGACAGCTCAGAAGTGACACTGATCCCTGCTGCCTTGTACTTCCAAAGCAAGGACATCAGCCTGATGGTCCTGGGTCTTCCAATGAGCAATGACTCAGATGGTTTCCTTCTGTCTCCTTCCAGAACAAATGCATCGACTGTGGGTACGGCTCAATTCTTCCCTGGAAACAGGCAGGAGCCACTTATCATCGGCCCGCCCACAGAACCACAAATTACTCATTGTGAACCCTGGCACTTAATCCCACGGGGGACGTTAAGACCTACCATTTACATTTATCCCTACATTTTTAAAGGAAGGGCTTGAATACCATTTAATGCTATGACCATGACTCCCTAAAAACATCAGAAATCGAAAGCCCGGAGCGGGATTGTTTGGACCAGGCTGAGTTCTGCACCAGCCTCTGGAGCGAAGCTCCCCACATTGGCGTGCAGCTCCATGACCTGAGCAGTGACCCCATTGGGCTGCGGCTCTGTAGTGTGGAGCCCGACCAGTGCTCACCCTGACTGGGACGGCTGGATCCACTGCCCTTGGCTTCTCGGCAGCTGTTTCAACACCTGACTGCAAAAAAGTGAGTCACTGCCATGTCTAGGCTGATGCTGAAGAAAATGGCTGTCAGTAATCCATAGTCCAGAACATTTCACAGGAAGCCACAAAGGAGCTGTTAACCAAGGTAAAATCCTAAGCACCCCCAACCAACTGAATGTCTCCCCTCTTGACCAAGGGAACCCCCCAAAACCTGAAAAACTGAATTTCAGCCATGAAAGGAAGGCAGGTCAGGCAACACTCGCTATGCCCCTCCCTTGAAGTTTAGCCATAACTGACAGGCATTCACATTAAAATAGAGACCTTGGAAGGCTGAGGTGGAAGGATCGCCAGAGCCCAGCAGGTCGAGGCTGCGGTGGCCGGGAGCGGCCACTGCACTCCAGTCGGGGCGACAGCGTGAGACTCCAACTCAAAAAAAAAAAAGATCAACCTGCAGGCTCCAAACCTGATAGACACGAGGCTTGAGAAAACTAAATAGCCACAAGGCACTTTCCTGGAGGCGCAAGATAGTAACCAAGATAGTAACCAATTCGCAGTCTTACCCCCACATCCTCTTTGTGAAGTTACTGTTTACAACCCCTGCTTGTCATGGATACCCTGGAGACAATTTGTTCTTTGAAAATCTGGTTTTGCTAAATACCACCTTGTAAATTACAAATTAAAATGGAAAGCCATACAACCTGACCCCCTCCCTTACCTAAACTAACGTATAAAACCCCTCTCCTCTTTCTCCGGGTTGCTCAGCCTTGGAGCATTAGCCCGCTGAGTTGTGCCAGTGCTGATAAACCGTACTTCCTCAGATGGCTTTGGTGCCACGGCCTCTCTGTTTTCCTCCCAACACTGGAAGGGCTGGGCCATAGCTAAAGCCTGAGGAGGTCTCTTCATGTAGCTGTTCCTCTGTGTCATTATATCCTTTATAATAAACCAGTAAATGTTAAGTAAAATGTTTCCCTGAGTTCTGTGAGTCATTCCAGCAAATTATTGAACCCGAGTATGGGGTTGTGGGAATTCTCAATTTCTAGCCAGAGTGCTGGTACCCTGATCACCCAATACTTGCATCTAAAGTGGGGGGCAGTCTTGTAAGATTGAGCCCTTAAACTCTGTAGTCTGTGCTAACTCTGGGTAGTGTCAG